CAATCACAATTTTGCCCGTTTTATGTAATAGCTATTCTAAAAAAGAAGAGGATAATACAATATATACCTGCTAAGATTCAGAAAAGAAAATAAAAGAAAAAAGAACACATGTTCAAGTTAACAAATGTTTTGGGTTAGAGTCATGTTTTCAAAAAACAGTCAGTGATTTACGATTTGGAATATTTTCACCAAAGCCCTTGAGGTTCTGAAAATAACACAGCCTACATAAATTGACATGAGCAAGCTTTTTTAATAAATAAAATCCCATAGAAGCAGAATATATTTAAACTCAAACCAAAATTATGATTATAATTCACATGAGAAAATACTAGGACTTTAGAAAAAGGGTTTTTCCCTGAAGTGGGTGAATGGTCTAATTAAGTACAGAGCCCATGGTAAAAATTGTTTTTCTTATTTCAAACCCTGATACATGCTAAAAATGTTATATTTCTTGTACCTCATTCATAATTCGGCTTGCCACTTTTAAACAGACAAATGCCTAAGTTCTTGAATATCATTTTGGCAAGAAAATTAAAAAGCAATTTTAATATGAAAAATGTAATATGATATCTAAACTATAATATAGATTTTATTTATTTTTCATTTTTTCTCAAGCTATTAGCACCATTTGAAATCAAAATCTGAAATAGGTAATTTCCTTATTTTCAGTAAGGAAATTGAAAATGGCATGTTATTTGAGGCACATTGATCGAGAATCTCTCATTAAATTCTTAAATATTGCGTTTCCCACTCACAAATCATTCATAAAAAGCAGAAGTGAGGAACAGCTGGAAATCAATGTCATAAAATTTCCTTTGCAGATACTCTAGAATCTTAGTTATTTACTAACATTTGCCAAGTATTGAACACACATTTCCACATAGAATAAACCTCCTGCCAAACCAGTTCATCAGAATGGAATCAGCATTAGCCAATTCTGTCTAGCAACATGTTACAAAGTTGCAGGATTTAAGAACACACTTTATGTTTAAGCTTTGTACCTTGATTAAATATACAATATACAGTATAAACCACAGGGAATCAGGGTGTAATGAATAACTCTCCTTTTCAGTTTAGATAATAAATACAGTTCACATTTGAGTTGCTTTAGATATGCAGTCTTATTGGTTTGATTGAATGTACACTTGTCCATATCTCCTGCTACGGTTTTGTTCATTGTGTTGGAAGCAAACCAGAGGTTTAAATGTGTAAGACTCTGACTTTCGATCCCTGGCAGTACCATTCTAGGAGCAGCCAATGGAGAGATATCTTCTACTGGAAGGAACCACAATTGTGTTCAAGGCAGAGACTAGTAAATTCCTTGTTGTTTCCATCTATTCTCCTTAGATAATTTTTGAGAGAAGATTTGAAGATCCACAGTGGATCAGAAACCTGATTAGGATTGTTTGTTCACAGTTTATAGTAAGGACAGATAACTTACATCATTCAGAAGTTGCTAAGCTATCACTCCTAGTATCCCTCACCACTAGCCAGATGGGCTTGGGAGACTGGAAGCTCTAATTCAGCAATATCTGAACGACCACCTGTTATCTAACTCTGATTTAATTCACTCTCACTATGGAGAATTTCCCTGAGCCATAGTATTTAGATCCTGGTGATCAGTAATTTGCCTGCATTGGTGTTATTTTCAGGCCATTTACACCATTCCAAATCTTCAGCACTAGCAGCATGTTTACCTAGGGGGAGTGAAGGGATAAAGATGCTTCCTATACTTCCATTTTGGCTCAGCCTCCCAAACTCCTGGGATCCCCAAAACAGGACCGATGCACGATCTGTCTGAACAGTGATACCAGTAGTCACCAAGCATTTCCAGTTGGAGAACTATTTCCTTTCTCAGTCAGAAGTTGACGAATGCTATCTTGTTCCAACTTGCTGCCCTAGAAATACTAATCCAAACAGCAGTCCCATAAAATCTGCCCTGTTGCTTTGCAATGTTTGACTTGCTTGAGGGCAATCACATGAGGGAGCTCACTGCCAGCTTTGCCAAGATCAAAGGAGCCTGCTTCTGCCGCCCTCACCACCACACAGAGGGAGTGTTTTACATCTCAGGGCAAATCTGAGTTTCTGGTCCTGTGACAAACTACCGCTAGAGGCAGCAGAGAAAAAACAAAACAGCTATGCAGCTCACATTTGAAATCAGCACACAATATAAATGAAAGTATATAAAAAAAGCATAAAACTAATTTTGCACTACATATCCTGAGCACCTTGAAATGTACATATGTTTATTTAATATAAATGTAAATCATAAATATTCATTCTTCTGGCGGTCTCTTTCAAACCCAGCTAAATGTCAGGAATATTTTTTAAAAACCCGCAAACTAATTATTTTTTAAAATCTGGCCCTTTTGCACCTTTCTGAAAAACATATTTAAAAGTTAGATGTATATAATGCAGTGACCTGTATAATTGTTGTTGATTCACAACCACATCAAGATCCAGAAAACTTCCCTTGAGGGAGAAATTACTCTTCTTTGCAATGAAGCTGAACTATACCCTTACTCCAATGTTATTTTTAAATCAGATTGAAAAAGCAGTGCTATTATATCAAATAAGTCAGGAAAAAAGAATCTGGTAAATACAGTCAACATTTTGATGATAAAGACATTTTAATATTAAAAGCAAATTGTAAATGTATCTTTATAAACAATATGCATAAAATAGATCTATAATAGTAAAGCTCTGTCTCTTTTTAAATGGTTTTTTTCACAGTAATTTCTTAGGTATGTAATATTTTCCCTCTTAAAGAAATAGTGCAATTTGATGAACGTACTTATGTAAATGAATTAGAAATCTGATGACCCTTAATACAAATCCTTGTAAATTTCTTGTAGGAGTGGATGAAGGCTCATGTTTGTCTCCGTCTTCTTTATAATTTGCAACAGCTGCACATGTTCTGTTACAATCTGTCTGAGGTCTGTCATTTTCTGCAACAATTTTGCAAACAGTTGTGATGATTCTGGGTGATTCAGCTTTAACTGGAGTTCTAGTGATTGCAGCAAACTATCTTGAATATCTTCAATAGGTTTCACATTCAGTAATCCAGGGCGATCTAGAAACAAATAAAACCATTAGTTTTAAAATGTATATAAGTAGGTGTAACTGAATTATAAAAGTTTCTGTATCTAGCATTACGGAAATTACCTTTAAGCGCCATCTGAACTGGAATTACCCATAAGTTTTTGACTGTCACAAAAGCTTACTTTTTAGGATCAGAGATATTTCCTAGCCTCAATTCAGAGTATTGATTTTTCCTTCACACACAAATTTACCTGTACCCCTCTTTTCATTATATTTTTCTTGCCATTTGTTTATGATTTGTTTATGATTTTTATTTAACATTAAGTTGTTGACAACATTCTACTAGCTCTCCATCAAAACCACCACAATGTTTTATGAGATTTCTTGGGTTAGTTCCTTCAATTTTCCCTGCTCTATAGCCTTATATCCTAAAAAGACAAATAAAAAATAATAAATAAATAGATAGATAAATACTAAAATCCAATCACAATCTTTATGTTGAACTTTTGGACAAATTGAGAAACTCTATAATTCTATAAGCAAAAGGGATGAAAAAACAGCCAAATGTTGCTAATAATTGTGCACAATGTTCCTATTTTGACAACATCTGCAAGTGACCATTGCTGCCTCTCTTGCTAATATATAATCTCTTAAACTCACTTGGCCATGTGAAACCACAATAACCAGAATCCACTGGCTTCATGCTGCAAGGCAAAAGTTAATAAGTAAAACAATTGCTTTGTCATTCAAGTAAGTGGACAAGCTGGGTGTCATCTTGTTGTAGATGAGGGCATTGGGTACAGGCTCAGATGTCTGGATAAGGTGTACTGTACTGTACAGCTTTCACTAATCTAGTGTCCTCCAGCTGTGCCATAAGAAATTTCCATTTGTCTTATTCAGAATGCTCATGGGGACAATGATAATGATGATACAAGTCACACAAAACCAACAAAAGGAGGTTGATCTGTAATTGTCTAGGATTTACAGCCTGAAGACAGGAGGGAACAGAGCAAATGACACCCTCACATGATGAGAAAGTTCCTGCATCGAAGAATAAAGGGAAGAAGACTGAAATCAACAAAGGATGACTTTAGGAGTCGTGCAAATCCTTTGATAACCCAATGTGATTTTACAGGTTTGGTTATAGATACCAGATTTCTCACAGTGGCCATTCCTGCAGCTTTTGTAGAACAATTCTTAAACATGAAAGGGTAACTTCCTTGATCAACTAAGCCTGCAGCTCAAACTTCAGAAGCCCAAACTAACTGCTGTTAAGTTATTTAAGTAAAGCTGTTTAATTACATTGCCAGGTTTAAGTTCTCAGTTTTGTCAGTGGAATACGATTTTATTCAAGGTCATAGAAATCCTATGATGTTAAGTGAAGGAAGTTAAAACAATAACAGACGAAAACAAGAAATCAGCTCTGTGTCTGTTTAAAGGAGTTCACGTAGGCTGAACTAGTTCTTGTTAGAATTTACAACCTGATTATATAAACCACAAAATGACTTATTTACTCTAGGTGTCAAAAAATAAAAGGCAGCATTCCATATAAACTTAAACTGATATACTTGATAGTTCCTTCATAACTTGGGTTTTTACATTATATTTCACACTGATTAATATATAGGAAATGTTATGCACTGATTAATATATAGGAAATGTTATACCCTCCCAAATATTTACATAACAGGAATATAGAACCATTTTCTCAAATGTTTTATTTTTCTCAGAAATCACAAGGTCATAACTACCATTGCAGACAGAATTCTAAACCCAATCAATAAGTTAGTTACCAAAAAAATATCATTCTACTTTTAAATAAAATGAGGAAGGAATAACATAGAGCAGGGCTGTCAAACTTGCGGCTCGTGAGCGGGATGCGTCATGCACTGGCCACGCCCACACCTAGTTTAGTGAAGGCGAAAAAAGTCATGATACGTCATGTGATGCCAAGTTTGACACCCCTGACATAGAGTATGAAAAAGGACACACAGAAAAGTTGTGTCAAAAAGAAGTAGGCATTTACAGGGTTTACATTATTTTATGAGTTACATCCTATGATGCCTTTCTGCCAGCAAAAGAGATTCTGCAGTTAGAACGGACTTCACCTCTTTCCTCCTTCCAGTTCCAAATTTGCTCAAGAAGCTTGGAAGAGCACAACACATTTATTTATTTATTTTTGCAGGAAAAGGTGGAAAAAAGAGAGACAAACACTGCTCATGTAAAATTGCAAAAACAGAAGCCTACCCATGTATGTATTCAAAACTTTTAGATCTGTCTGCTATATATGGAGGATATGTGTGCATAAACATTTTAGAGATGTGGCAATTAATATGTTAAAAAATGTTACTTGTCTGGTTTTTGGGAGATTACATAGATTTTAACAACATTTTGATAATCTGCAAATGCTAAAACATCTGGCTATGACTCATTGTGCATAAACACAAAATTTAACCAAAGGTAAAGTCTGCAGCATCTTTTCCTACTGTTTTTGAAATCCTAGGAAATCCCTTGCTTGCTTCACTATCAGTCAGTTTTTAATATTGTTAACAATATCATACTATTCAATTTGGCTAAAATAATTTCCTTTCATCCCAAGCAGATATAAAAACAGACTGAATTTTATAGGTTCTTTCTACAATAAAAAAGGATTTTTTTCCAGAATAATTTTTGTTTCCTGGGTTTATCAATGGATCCAGATGTCCTCTTTGTTGCTTATTTTCTCACTGCTTTTCTTGTTTATCATTGAGAAAAATGCAAGAAAAGGAAGAAAACCCACATAATGCATTATCTCAGAGTCTTCCCTCTTAAAAGTACTCCCAGATCAAGGCCAAGCTTATGATGCTGAAGCATTTTAAAAAAATATATATGAAAGCCTAGTTGGAATTTGAATAGTTGGAGACTTGATGAAAATGAACTTCTATTTATTTCCTTTCGTTTAAAATTAAACTATAGTTTAGTTAACTAGAAATAAACATTAAAAGTACTGCTATTGTAATATCAATAATATCAAAGTTACTTTTGAAAGACTGATAATTACATGAAATGTAAAGCTGTAACAATGTTCCCAAAGTAGATGACCATATTTAGAGATAGGCTTTTATCCAGTGTGGAAGTCTCTTTCATTCTTTAACATTCTCAAAGAGAACCATAGTTTCTGTTAATCATTCACGTACAAAATGTTCATAACAATTATTTTATGTTCTATGTACACTTGCAAAATTCCTATGTATTCTTATCTCTTAAGAGCAATTGCTACTGAAGCTCATTTAGAACAAGAATAAGCATTTGGTTGGGAACTCTTATCATAATGTCAGTGTGACTCAGCAGTTGCGTGCCTGATTTTAATGAGTACAGAACAAATCAGGTTTTAAATCCAAAGAAACTGGCTGCCAATATCTTAAAAGTTATATAAAAATTCTTAATAGGTGGAATATCCCTCAAAATTTTGATTGATTTGTCCTTTTAAATGACAGCTTGTCTTTTTCAATCTGTAAACAGCAATTCCTATACTGATAGAATAGTTCAGGCCCTGGAAAAAAACAGTATTTTCAACTAGACTGGATCCAGCAGAAGTATTTAGCAGATGGCTTTTTTTTTCTACAGGAGACCGTTAATCTAGTGTGGGTATCCTCCAGTGGAAAGGGGGAAGCAATCTCTTCTGATCCCCTCTCCTACTGCAAACTATTCCACTTTTCTTTGAAATTCCCAGAGCAACAGGGAAAGTGGTGATGAAGTTTCAGTGAAACAAAACTGGCAAGGATTATCTCATTCCTCTTGTCTCACAGGAAGGACCATTTTGGGCAGAATTCTGGTAGCAGAATGAAAATTGGATCAAACCATGAAGAAAGCTCATCTTCAAAATCATTTATTCCTACTGTCAATAGTTTACAATTATTCAAACTACAGTGCAATTATTACTTGAAAACTTTAATCTGTACAACTTCAGGCACAATTATTGGGAATATGTAATACCCTGAATGTACTTTCTGCTGGATTGTGCTTGAAGAAGATTTAAAAGATTGGGAAGACAGCAGATTGTCCATTTTGTGGGAGCTTTGTTTTGGGACATTCTATAGGCAAATACATATTAAATCCTTTTGAAAATGTAATTTACAATTGGTCTGATTATAAATTTGATTATTAATTGTAAACACATCCACTCACACTCCATCACACACACAGTGAATTTTTGGACACAACATTGAACTATTGCAATCAAGTTTGACCAGAAGTGTTTTGCCATCATGTTCAGAAATGCAGCTATTGCCTCTTAACTAAGATAACCTTTAAAACTGTTTTAATTGTCTATCCATCTATTAGCAATATTAAAAGAAGGATGGGTTGCAGTTAGATATCAGTAACAATTGCCTTTTGTTACAATAAGGATAAAGTTTCTTAATTTATAAACTCGTAATATTTCTGATTGATTATCCTATTAATTGCATTTGGTAATTGCTATTGATTTGCTCTTACTAACAGTTAGAATTATCTTTAATGTTACTTTGAAAATTCTTATTCAATTGTTTACACCCTAGAAATCTTCACATTCATGTTCCCCTCCCCTGGTTGTATTTCTAAATATCTATTAAAATTAAATTAAAAAGGTTAAAAAGTATTTATATCTGAAACATCCATACTTGAGATGTATACAGATATTCTTTTTTCCTTATGTGTTCAGTGTTTTGAGGAAAGCAAGCAGGAAGACATTTTCTAACCTTTATTATCAAAAAGTATCATCTAAAGGAATTTCTTAAGATGGAAGGTGTTTTTCCCCCCTGACAACCTTGCATTCCAAGACACTGTACTTCTCTCAAAGCGTTCAATTTAACTTTTGTTGAATTGTATTATTTAGAGTAAATTCTTAAATTTGTCATATAAAAAGTGAAGGAAAAGAGAAATGTTAGTGATTCATTCCACTGCAAAGTCTGAGAACTCCTGTCTTATTGCATCTGTGACTAATTGTAACTTGTTTTTTAAATCTTTCTTGAACTAATACAGCTTTTTATTCTTTCTAATCTAAACGCATGTTGGAAAGAAAATATTTAAGAGGGCTCAGGACTTTATCCATCAGTACCATAATACTCTGAAAACAGAATGGAACCAAATTTGGTGTGCTGGAAACAGCTCTCAAAAGAAAAATCAACTTTGATTTTTGCCTTTATTCAGAGCCACTCCCAACATCTTTATCAAGAATTCTTACATAGAATTGAAGTATATATTCTTGCTAAATGAGCCTTTAGTTTAACGAACAACATGCCTCAATGCTGCAGTTCCAAGTGAAAAGTGCCAAATAATAATTAAGCTCCTTTAATCCTGACACTTGTTGAATCATGCAAGTCTCAAATGGTAGTTGAGAGAAAGAAGCAACCAGAGAGATAAAATTATGTAAGGGTGGTGGCATCTGGTTCTGTATAAGGAAAACATAGCGGTGCATATGGTGACAAGCAGCAGCAACTCAACTCAGTAGGGTCACCCTGGAGATGTAAAAAATCGCAAAGAAACACAAAGGTCTACTTGTCACTTGTTTGTTGACACATGGCCTCATGTTCAATCTCAAGACTTCTGCTGCAGACTCTGACAAACAGCTATTAATAATAATGTTGGGTTTCATAGTTTGTCCTGGTATAGGATAGTTTTCCAGGCCTTAGTTTTGTGATTGAACTGTCAGGGCTGTTCAGAGACAGCAGTCTGAAGGGAATCAGGAGAAAAGGGACAAAACTAGTTTGCCAGGACCAAAGAATAAGGACTGAAGGACAAACTAGAACTAAGATACAAGCAGAGGTTCAGATTGAACAGCAGTGAATGTGTACAGAAAGAAACCAGGGCTCCAAAAGATCATATTGGTCAAGCAAGAATTAATTCAAACAAAGATTTTTGTATCTTCTCTTCCCAAGGGGATCCAATAACCAGCACGAATAGAGTTAGTCCAACCAGCTAATATGCAGTCACTGGATGTGGAGCATAGATCCAAAAATTGAGACCTTTACTCCTCCTAGGACTCCTGACGTATACTTTCTGGAAGACTCTTAAAACTCTTTTGGATACGTAAACTCTTTCATGAAGGGCAATTGTTCATTTCATTCATCTTCCAAACTGCATATAGTAGAGTGAGAAAAATTGTCTCAAGAATCTTTGTTCTAAAAGGATCATTGCACATATGTAAATTAGACTTTGGGAGACAAGGGCCTATCCATAATACGGTAGTATAGTTTTCAAATCAGGTCCGCCCAATTTATGATTCAACTGAAAGCAGTTCAGGAAGCATTCGTAACTATGCCAGGGATTTAGTCTCTATTTTAATGTTCTGAGTGGGAACTGAAGACCAAAGTACAAGGCTGGTGTGCTAAATATGGAGTGTTTGGGGGGTCTCATAAGTCATGAACCTTGGCTAAAATCTTTGCAAATCAAGGAGAACTATGAAACTTTCTCACACTTACCTCCACTAAGAATAATGACAGCTATAAATATTGCCAGGTCACTGTCGTCTAATTCCAGTGCATTGAATTTGACAGCAAACTCAAATTTTGGCTCCATAAAGTCACAGAAAGGTTTCCGCAGACTCTTTAGGAACTCCCGAGTCATGAATCCTTGTCCATTGGATATGAGAACGCCATCTTTATTCATCATGGAGGCTAGGAGTGTATAGATGATCTCATGCACTCCATATTTCAGGAGAGTTACTTGGTCATTGAGGTCTAAACTCACGAAACCTGGAATGCTTTTGGCAAATTCAGTGATTTCCTGAACAGCTTCCACCGAGCGAAATTGGCAGCGCTGGAAGATACGTATGGCCACTTCTTTGTTTTGCTCTTGCATGGGGGTCAAATGTTTACACTTGATCTGGTCTTCTCCCATCATTAAGGAATTCATGTCATAAATGACAAATGGCTAAAAAGAAGAAGAAGATACAGTTGATGATCGGTACAGGATTTTTGCGACACAAAACACAATGACTTTGAAAAACAGGTTGGAAAAGATAGACTTAAGTGTATGAATGTGAAGAACTCAGCTGCAATAGGTCCCTCAGTTTTCAAGGACATAGTCTGAAGAAAAACCACTTTGTTTTGGTAAATAAAGCCCTATGTTTTCCCCTCAAGGTAAATTGCTAAGAAGCAGCAATCATTTAAAGCCAATAGCATATCTGCTTTATCATTTTGAAAACTTGTTATACCAACATAATACTGGCAATTAGACTCCTATATTTTATCACTAAGCCTGTATTTTTATGGCTTTCTGAATCTCCTTGCCATAGATTTGTAATGGGCAATAAAACTCATGTAAAATGTATAACATGGGATTGGGATATTTTAAGCTGATCCCCGCCCCCCCCAATCATACAGACATTGACTGAATGTTCTTAACGGCAGGGCTGGAACGTACCACCATCATCCTCAATGATAGAGAAGGGAAGCTGAGATAGAAAAGCTGACTTGTACCTTAGTTCTAAAACTCATGAAACAACATGGAAGATAATCCATTACTCCTACAGAAGTAGAAGGCAGGAGCATTGTGCAGCATATTTTATTGAATTTATCCCATCATCAATAATACTTATGATTGAGTCACTGATTCTTTAAAACAAAAACATGTAAACAATTCTGATTGTACTGCCAGGAGATAGCTAGCTAGATGATAGCTAGCTAGATGATATCTAGCTAGATGATAACTAGCTAGATGATAGATAGCTAGAGACAAAGAGACAGACAGACAGAAGGCTGTTTCACAACACGATTATGATCATTTCATAAAGAGTATGCTTGCTCAGAATGTATTTAAAGTCATCACAATGAACCATGCAGCTAGTTGGATGAAAAGTAGAAGGTGCTGGGGCATTATTTGCTTCAACTGGACTTTGAAGAACTGTTTTTTAAAATCAAGGGAATGGCAGACATGGAAAATGATACATAGGATGGAAGGTGGAGGATCTGATTTCTGCTTTTCTTCCTTACCCATTGAAGCTCTTTAAAATTCAAAAGGTTGAACTTCCCAAAAAAGTATGGATCTGTTGTTACAGAGGATTGACAAAATTCAAATCTGTTGCCTATATAAGGATTAGAATAAAGGCACCACATCACTCTGTAACATGCACTATCCAAACATTTTTTGCCTTTCTTATCCAGAGTTGTTAAGTCTGAGGCATTACCTGGCCAGGGCCTTTCTGTTTGAATTCTAAAGTCCCAGAGCACTTTAGGTTTTTTCATTTTCTATTATTTTATTGTCCTACCAGTTCTTGCTGGCAGGCAAATGGTATATCTTGCAGATATTCCAATGCAGGGGTCGCCAACCTTTTGGACCTCAGGGACCACTAAACTCATAATTTTAAATCCCAGGGACCCAACCCACCGGTTGGTGACCACTGTTCCAATGCACCATTATTGCTACTTTGTCCTGCCATTGTGTACAGTCAGTCTGTTCTTTAGCAGTTAACTAAGCTTTTCTTCAACTTCTTTTCAGAGGACTATATCAGCAATATATCTGTTGCTGTCCTCTCAATTTTGGCCTTGCATGCACCTGTTCTTAAGGCTTCATCTTATGCAGCCAGAATTTGCCCCTCTATCTTCAATTTTCCTGCTCTTAGGTGTTGCCAACTCTTGTTATCTGCTTTGCCTGCTATTTTTTAATGTATTGGCCATGTAATACCACTTTGCCTTGTCATGTCTCTTTTCTATCTTTCATTTGGTCTTTCTTGAAGGCCAGTTTGGTCTATACAGTATTCAGAGAGCCTTCATAGTGTACTAGCTTCAGTGTATCTTCATCAGTGCCCTTCAGATATTCTTCCAATGTCCTTTTTTCTTCTTCAAATGTCTGGTGTACTTACAACATTCCACACCCATCTATTTTCCTTAGTAAGTAGAGTCTGTCAACATTACTGCACTGATAAAGGACATGATTCAATATTATTGTGTTTCTGGTCTTCTTGTCCTGGGCTTTTAGTTCAGTTTTAGTCTAATCCATTATTCCAACTGTGTATCTAATGACTGGAATTGCCCAGGTATTAATTGCCTTAATGGTATTTCTACAAATGAATTGGAACTCTGAGATCTTGTTCATTCTTCTGATGATCTACTATTAACCTTCTTCTTGACTTCAGTGTGCTTGAGCCTGAAGTATACTCAGGTATTTGTAGTGATCTCCATCTAGACTCTTTATGTTATTTCCCTAGGGCAGGGATGTCAAAATCAAGGCCTGGGGGGACGGATCCGTCCCACGGGGTGCTTAGATCTGGCCCGCGAGGCCAGCCTGGAAACAGCAAAGGTGCCTCTGCCAGCAAAAATGGAGCTTGCGAGGGCTGCGTGCAGCCCTTCCGAGCTCCGTTTTCCCTGGCAGAGGGTTGCAAGAGACCATTGCAGCCAAAAACTGAGCTTGGGAGTCTGTTTCTGCTGGCAGAGAGCTCTGGCCACCACAGTGATGTCATGTTGGCCATACTCACCCCGGCCCCCCAAGGTCAAACACAACTATGATGTGGTCCTCAATGAAATTGAGTTTGATACTCCTGCTGTAGGGCATCCTTCAGCTTTCACTATTTTTCTCTACTGATGGTAAGGGTAGAACATTTGTCCAGTGCAAACTCCATTGCAATACTTTGGACAGTGTCGAGCAGCGATTCTATTTCAGATGGTGTTTTTCCACACAGCTTCAGGTCATCCATGTAAAAGATGTGAGATTGCCTGGCAGATGTTTTTGATGTTTGAATAATCATGGGACAACTTTTTCAATAAGTTCTGTGCACAGAACTATACTGTTTCTTCCTTGCCAAATATTATCTCAGTGTTGGCGAACCCTTTCTGCACCAAGTGCCGAAATGGGAGCACACACACGTGCATGTGGGAGCATCAGAAACTGGAAGAGCAGTTCCCCAGTGTGTGTGGCACGCATGAGTACACGAAGACTGGAACCCACTGGCGTGCCCAGTACTATCTGATTCACTCCAATCGCCATTGATGGATTGGTAGAAATATTTATGATTGGATTGAAATGGGAAGTTCTGCCTATAATTTGCAATTCAAGCTTTGTGTCTGCTGATCTTCTTGGCTGGAGGTGTTATTTGCTACTTTATTATTTCCAGTGCTTCCTTGATATTCTTTGTTTTCTAAGTGGCATTTCTTTAAAAATTGCACAAAATGCTAATTAGTGGAAGCTAGAGGACCTGAAATGGGTTTATTTGTCACTTAATAGAGTATTTTACAAAGGCACTGTATGGCTCAGAAAAACTGTCTACATAATTATTTTAAACTGTACAACTTATTTAAGCATTACCAGTCATTTACACATTTACACATGATGAAGTGCTACCCACAATTCTGAGAAGGAACATAGTTGAGAATTGTATCCACAATAAACATGTTAATGTTTGGGAACCCAAAGTCCATCACAAAATGCATAATAAAATTGTTTTACACATTATTTACTGAATGAGCACATTTATTCTCATTCTTTTTAAAGGCAAGGCCAAGAAAGTAGTGGCGTTTTATATGCGGTTTTTGTTTCTAGTTTTTATTTCGGCAAAACTATCCTGATAGTTGGAATTTAATTATGGATAGGTAAACACGGTCCCAAGAACACACATAAAAATGCCAGTTTAGATGTAATTTTTAGCACATCAGACTCATAGTGTGAAAGCTCAGTTTCAAAGAGTCTCCAGTCTCAGTTTTTCTTTATTCAGAGAATAAGTAGAAAATGGTTGCCTATTATAATGTTTATCTTGAATTCACATTTTAAAATATTATTTAAAGTTTATCAAAATGTGATCTTTTGTACGCAACCATAAAAAAACATCTGATTTTATGCAGGATTACTGATGGAAAACCTATCAGTAAACAACATTCTATTTTTGAAGGGTCCTCTTTCATCCATGCTCCTCTCATTTCATTTGTTCTTCATACAGCAGTTCCATAATCCAATATTTGACACAGCAATTGCCGAGTAGAACACAATAAGGGGCAGGGGTGGGATTCAGCCGGTTTGGGCCAGTTTGAGCGAACTGGATGTTAAATTTATATCTGGTTCCCCGAACTGGTAGTTGGACTGACCATCTGTCCCCACCCACCCCACCTGCCCCTCTTAGGAGTCTCCACGCCGCCCATTTTGGATGCAGGGAAGTGCAGGGTCCGTGCAGAGGCTCTGGGAGGGTGAAAAATGGCCCTCCTGGAAGTCCGGAAACGGGCCTGTTTCTAGCTTCCAGAAAACCTCTAGAGCCCGGGGGAGGCTGTTTTCGCCCTCCCAGAGGCCCGAGGGAAGCCTCCGGACTCTGGGGAAGGTGAAAAAATGGCCTTCCTGGAAGTTCCGGTAGGCCATGCCCACTCAGCAACCGGGAAGAGAACCAGTTGTTGGGATTTTTGAATTCCACCCCTAATAAGGGGTATTGCATATCAGTAGAATTGGTTCTGTTTGAAGGAGGACTTTCCAAGTGTGTGTGGGTGAGAGAGAGAACGAGAGAATGTTTACATATGTGTGCAGATTGCTTTTATATGTGTAAAGTTTGTTTGTTTGTTTGTTTTAAAAAAATATCCAGGTTCCATCCCTTAAAAGTTGCCATTAAAGATACCAAGCACATGTGACTTTTCCTTAGCAGCCCCTGCCCTGTTGAACACCCTTCCCTCTGGGAACAGGCAGGCCCTCACACTTTTAGCCATGCAGAAAGCTGTAAAGGGCTGGCTTCCCTCCCCACCCCGCCACCCCCGGGGTGATGGGATAGAGCAAGATTGGAACTCAAGGTCTGAACAGAGTCATGGATTGGAGATTGTAGGTCAGGTACCTGATATACTTTTTTATTGCTTGTGATTTTATTATTATTGTGAGCTGCCCAGAGTTGTTTTACAAGATGGGTGGTCATATAGGGCTAACACACAATAAAATAAACCTTGTTTCATTATCTACAGTTGTTAGGCTGGAATGGAACCTCTGCAAATAACAGGGGCTACATCTACACATAGCCCACCATGTATGAAGATAGCGTATCTATAAACCACACATAGATCCTGTAAAACTATTTGGTAGTAGCAGTCCATCCTTTTCTCAATACATCAACTATAGATAGTGCGAACACATTCACGTCTTACAGAATAGCACATTTGGTTATATCCAGCCAAATGCTGAACATCTTGTGAGGACTTTCCAATATTCTATTTCAGAGGGGCATTTTGCAAAGCGACCACTCTTTTGTGTTTTCTGGATATAATTGTGTCTTCTCCTCTAGAAAAACAAACTAAGATTTTTTTTTCAATGCATTTCTGTCAAAGATTTCTTTCCTTTGAAGAGCAGCATCGACTGGAAAAGCCAAGCTGATTAAATATCACCTTAACTCCTGTTCCAGAGGAAATGCTCCAAAAACAATTTGGCAGTACGGTACTTCCTTGGGAGTTGCAGAGCAGGTAGTGACTTACTGGCAAAAACTTCTGCCTTGTTCTCTCCCCCTTCACCTAGGTGTTAAGGTCTCCTTGTCCTTCCTGCTCACCCCTATCTTCCACCATCAATCAGTTCAAGAAGGAAAGGAAGAGGGCACCTGTGAGATGCTGTGAAAATGCAGCTTATGATTGGCAGGAAGATGCAAAGCTAGTGACCTTCTGAGATACTGAGGCTGAAGGATCATATGAATGAACTAATATCTGTATCGTAAGTCAGAAAACATACCATTAGAGACAAGAGGACATATGCAAGGTCATAACCTAGCATCAAGGAAGTACAAGTTATTTCTGACCAAGGCAATTTTATTCAAATGAGAACAAAAATAAACTTGCTCAGATCTAATGCAAGCTGGCAATAAAGGATGTAAACAAGGATTTTCATGAGTATAGAACTAGTAAAGTTACAATGAATTGTTAAACAGGTAGAGTATAAGAAAGTAAAGTAAATACTGGAAGGAAGAACTGAACACTTGACATTTGTTGACAACTGAAAATAAAAAGATCAGTGGGACTAGATGGGTTAGCTTTAAAACAATAAAAAAGTGAATTTGCTGTTCTTCTAACACAGAGTTTCACAATCTTGAACAATCTTAAGATATATAGATTTCAATTATTATAATTATCCAACAGGCATGCTGGCTGGGGAATTCTGGGAGCTGAATCTACATATCTATTGTCATGGGTGAGAAACCTTAGCAAAAGGATGTGGCTGGTCCTTAAATTATCCTCTCTACCAGGGAACTAAAAATGTCCAGGCTAATGCCAAGAAAGGGATAGAACTGTAGCCCAACATAGATGGTTTAAGAGATACAGTAGCTCCATTGGATAATTTAGGTGATTACCAATGGAAAAAGGAATGACTATTCAGGAAGACAAGTTGTGTTGACCTACACATACTTGTAAGGGATTCAAATATTTTATTATATTTTTTTCCAAATAATGTTTACTTATCCCATCCCATTTCCTGTGTTTCAGCTTTGGTTTGAAATATATTAAGTACCAAATGTATTTTAAAAAACACACAATATGCTCCATTAGAATGGTAGACCTTTTGCTCTAAGAAGAAAAAAAACAACTGGATGGAACTTACTGATTGGTCTGTTGTCTTTCCTGTCAAGATTGCCCTTGCCTTGGCTTTGGTCAGGGGGAAAGACTTTATGTAGGAATCATAGAGCAGCTTGGCCAGGGCTCGCAGATCAGCAGACTCAGGGTTCAGCTGGTCGATGTCACTTGAAATCTCTGCCAAGAGTTTCTCCTTCTCAGCTTGTGGCATTCGCCCAAACCTAATAGCTGAAAGGAAAACGGCAACAGTAATAAACTGTACCTAACGGATCTCCATTCTGTTGTAGTTGCATTTTCCTTCCACCACCTTTTACAACTTTACAGGATGGATTTCTCCTATGAAAACAGGGCATTGAAAATAATGAGGGAAAATTATCAGCTCATAAAATGTACCAACAATGAAGAGGGAACAAGGACATCTTAGTTTGGTGGCACTAAACTTTGACTCTGACAGTCTCTTTGGTTGGCTTATTTAGTACATTTGGACAAGCCAAGAGACGCTGGTGGCGTTTTGATCAGAGGTGGTATTCAGCAGGTTCTGAACAGTTCTGGAGAACCAGTAGTGGAAATTTTGAGTAGTTCAGAGAACCGGCAAATACCACCTCTGACTGGCCCCGCCCCCATCTATTCTCTGCCTCTCGAGTCCCAGCTAATTGGCTGGGTCTTCTTTTGTTGCCCTGCACAGGAGAACAGAGCTGGAAAGCAAGTTAGTGGGGTAGGGAGGAATTGGGATTTTGCAGTAACCTTCCCTCTGGAGTGGGAAGGGAATGTAGATTTTACAGTATCCTTCCCCTTCCATGCCCACCAAGCCACGCCTACCAAGCAACACCACGCCCACCAAGCCACGCCCACAGAACCAGTAGTAAAAACTTTTGAATCCCACCACTGGTTTTCCCACCAGGCCACTGATCCCACCAGACTACTGATGTCCAGCTCATTATAGCAAATGTAATATTTCAAATGTCTTCACCCATTATCCATTGCCCATTACCATTGTTAGGAAAAAAAGAAAACCAGCATATCCCTAGAGTGTAGAAGTGTATAGAGTGAATTTAATTACTTTCTTTTTACCTCTCTATTTCTTTCAATGAAAATCATGAAAAAAAATGTTTGCTTTGAATTCTAACTGCAATATAATGTTTCCTGTCAGTGGAAAAGCTATGCATGTGTTTGATCAGCTCTGTATCACCATCACTAGTGATCAATCATTGTTAAATCACCCCCTTTCTTCTCTTTGAGAAAAATGTCTTTCCACACATCCTAGTACAATCCATGTTGTATAAAGACTCTGCATTTGAATAAAGAGAGTAGCTACCTAGACTGATCTTCTACTGGAATAGCTTTAGGCATGTTCAGAGTGTTGGTTAATGTAGGCTAAACATTCCAAACTATATCTATTTAACTATAAGGCTATTTTTCTTTTCTATGCTGAAGGCATAAATAATTTGAAGGGATAAAAAGTTTAACCTGATAGAATTTCACTGCTTTCAAAGGAAGTTTCATAGATTAAAACATATTGACATGTAATATTAGGAGTTAAGAATTATCTGTATGTGTGTTTGTCTTCATATATCTGTTTTGTCTATCTTTGTGTAATACGCTGCAATCAGTTTTTCTGTATAGAATTGAAAATATTCTATCATCACAAAGATAAAAGTTCTTCAGTTTCAAGCAGAACATTTTACTCCATTCCTTTATTAGCCGAATGTTAAAAGCATGAAAGAAAGAAAGTTCAAAATTGCCAAAGCACCAAATAAGTGTACTAAATTGTTATGTTTTAGGAATTAGTGGTTTTATGTGATGTAGCGATTATGATACTGGTCTAGAAACCAGCAGATTATGAGTTCTACAACTTCTTCGGGTATGAAAACCAGCTAGGTGATTTTGGGCCAGTCTCGCTGAACTCAACCCAATTCACAGCATTGTTTTTGGGAACAAAAGGAGGCAGGAGAATTAGGTATGCTTGTTGCCTTAATAAAATAACAGGATAAAAATACAGATATAATTAAAAAATAAAGAGATAAAAAGGAAGAATAAAAATCTAACAAGTTCTTCAAAGAAGGCATGAATCAAAGCTTCCACAGTGATCTTTTGTGTAGAAAATTCACACAGATAAATGGTTCTCTATTTAGGATTGTTCATTTAATGATGATCTAAAGCAGGGGTCCCCAAACTTGACAACTTTAGGCTGGCTGGAGAATTCTGGGAGTTGAAGTCCACAAGTCTTAAAGTTGCCAAGTTTGGAGATCTCTGTTCTAAAGTTACATTGGCTTTGGAAAAAGTGACTTAAGACCTGAGCTTCCTACTGTTAGACCACCCCTGAGGTGATGTGACTGCCATTCTGACACTTGCATTTACATCTGGTTATAGTGTACTGTGATCAAATGGTCGTGATTTATGGTTTGTTTGTTTTTTGCTGATACCTGGCAAAAAAAAAAAAAAAGGCCATTGGGGAAGCTGGATTCGCTTAACAACCGCATGATTGTCCACTGTGATTTGCCTAATGCCCATCGTAAAAACTGTAAAATTGCAGCTGACTCAATGTACAGCCAAAAAACAGAAATTTCGGTCTCAATTGTGATCATAAGGTGATAACTCATTTTGTGTAATGAAAATAATACTAACAATATCCATGTATTTAGAAACTGGGGCAAAGGGTCCAAATTGCTCATGTTTAAAAATGCATGTAGTAGAGTGGAAACAAATCCAAATGAAAGATGTTGATTGTAATATATGAATTAGAATGAAATGGATTATTCTTTGCAAGATCAAAGAGTCCTATGGAGGGAGACAGTATTATTTATAATCCTCACTTGTACAGCATGTTTCCGTGGATGCCAAGCTTTATAGCCCTTAACATGTTACACAGCCATATTTACCTACAATAAAATCAAGTAAAGCACACAGCATCTTTAACAATCTGAGAATTTCTAGATTAGTGCTATAAATCATAAATTCTGGAGGTCAACAAAAGCTATACCTCCAAAACATGTGATTTTCTTCCGCAATTGTAGGTAGGAAGTATATACACTGGAAAAGGAATTGCCTAAAATAACTGATGGAACTGATGCAACAATCCAAACTCTTTGTTACTTTCAACATGTAAAGTAAGGTTGTTGTGTAGGACCAGTTTAAGGAGTTTGGTGGTCCATGCAACACTAGGTTTGGAATTCACCCACAGCCCTAGATCAATATTACAGGTGGATTCTTGCTAAATGAGATAAACATTATGCATCCAAAATAGAATATCCACAGCACCTGAACTAAATATATATCTGTAAGAAATGTACTGATGCAAAAATCATCAATGAGTAAAATCCTGTTTAGCAGAATGACTATAGCAAAAGCACTTAGACTTGTATATCGCTTCATAGTGTTTTATAGTCTAAGCAGTTTACATGGTCTATATTTTCTCTAAAAATGAATGTAAAAATATTAATTTTTCTCAGTAAGCAGCAGTCTCAGTCTTATGCAAATTCAGAAGGGCCTTAATTGTTTTACTGGGAGGCGGTCTGATTTTTAAGCTCTGATATCTATCTTTTGTTAAATAAATCTGTTCGTGAGAACTATTTCTCACATTGATAAAAGCGCTGAGAGTTATCAACACAGGAAATGCCTACTGTCCCATCTTCACAAGAGAGAATTATTTCTTTTCTACATCAACAAAACAGGAGGAAACAGACAAGACTCTTGCTGCTGAATTGCTAATGTAGACTATAGACATCTTATCTAAAGTAGGGCACTTGCTTGAATTCTTGTGTTATAACTTTCTAATAAATTCTAATAAAAATACTATTAATTATTGCTCTTGGATTCTTGTTCCTTGAATTAATTCTTTCCGGTCAAGGGTGTAAAGAGGAATGTTTGACAGTGTTTGTGATTAGTCTTTTCCAATTTCACTCCAACTGCCTTTAGCTATCTTGGTTGGAAATTAATTGGAAATCAATCCAATATTTCTGGGGAAAACAAGGCTACGCAAAGCTATGCGAAACTAATTCACAGAATTATTGAGGATGGATCATTTATGGTGTGGAATCTGATACCTCAAAAAGCTCAGGTCACTGAATATAGATGTATATTAGAGCCCCGTGTATTTCTATCCTTTCTTGAGAAATCCCATACATTTCACTATTCTTCCATAATAGATAATACATACTGTTCAGAATGAGCTTAACTAGCAAAATGTGTGAGTCCATATGAGGTTCTATAAAAATATTTTCACAGCAATATTTTTGCCTTTAAAATAACATCAGATTTGAGAAAATAGTTCTCATAACTATTTATTTGTTGGTAATAAAAAACAAGTTAAGAGTTTCTTCTGGCGTCAGGAAACTAAATTTTATACTGAGAAAATAAAAACCACAGAGAAGATATTTTCCCAGTAATGTTTGCAATTCTTTAGTTTTTTTAATTACATAAGACTCTGTTATGACATTCTATTCCTGTTTTCATTTGACTTTGCCAGGAGAGAGAACACAATCTTCACTAGAATTCATTTTCTCAAGAATTATAACATTAAATATTTTCTCATAAATTTATAGCATGAACTTAAATGGTCTTTAAATTGTCCCATATCATACATTCATCTCCTAAATCTATCAAGCTCATTCTTACAAGCTGCGTAAGGGCCAAACATATGTTGTACTCAAATATATTCTTTTAAAAGTCAATGGGGACTCCTTTAAGGAAATAGAAGAATAAACGTGCAGCCCAGAAAAACTAGGCATGATTTTATAACTGAAGAAGACTGACCAATGAATATGTCAAAAACATGAGCAAGAAGGAAATAGAAATAGGGTTTTTTCCTGATTTTTTTGCTCATTAAAAATTACAAGTATAAAAGTTGACTTTGGGGAACATGAAATGTAATATGGAGGGAAAAAAGGAAATGTACCTCTTCACTCTTTTGTGGCAATTTACAACCATGCTATTTTTTTTTTGTTCTGTTCTGTTTTGTTGGCATCCCCTTCTCTCCCTACTGACTGGAATCATTTAATGAGTGTACTAATATCCCAATGCTTTGGAGTAAATGAGATCTGCCTTTATCAGACTGCCAATGAGGATACATGAAACAACATTAACTCCCCTTAGCAGAAATACTTCTCTACATTGTCAAGGCTTCCAGCAGAATAGGTCTGCTACAGACCCTGTCTGCTATGTAATTCTGGCAGGCAGGGTCAAGGAGAAGAGCCATTTCCTCTGTGGCTCTGACACGTGGAACACTGTAGGCGAGAACTGTTCCCATTCTTTTGGCCTCCCAGTAAGATATGAAAACTTGATTTTGCCAGTTGGCTTGGAACCACAAGGGAGACACTGGAGGTGATTGATGGGATCAGAAGACCTTATCCCCATCCTATCTGTCTCCTTGGTTCTAGTTTTTTGCATAGTTTTAAAACTTTTAATTCCTTTTCTATGTTCTGTTAGCCACCCAGAATATACCCTATTAGAAAGATGGGCGGCATATAACTTTTAATAAATAAATAAGTAGCAGCAAATAAACTACTTCATGAACTCTTATAACAAGATCAAATTCAGATAGTTCAAACCCGGACCACGTAATTTTGAGACTACTTGCCAAAAAATGTTATCGCAAGTGCTTCCAGCTTATAGTCATTGCAATCACATTGCAAAGAATAATTCTGCTCTCCTGGAAAACCAATATAAAGACATCAGATGTTTTTTTCTTTCCTCAGACTGGGTGAAATGGCATTAGACTGTAACTTTCTTCCTCTGAGAATGGCACCAACTATAAGCCCATGAAACTGTAGGACTTAAGTAGGCAGTGGAAAGCTAAGCCAAGTAGCTGCTAACTCTAACTGAAGCAGAAATGTTGTGAAGATCATTTAGCTGTATTTCGTCTGGAATTGTACCATGAGTGGTTTCCCAATAGCAAGAATTCCAGTCTTGTCTTGTCTTCTGGTACTATGGATTTTATCATTCCCTCCTGCAATGAAGGTCCCTTCTGTTCTCTCCCCTGAACAATACTAGCCATTTGTACTGTTTTCTTCACTCTTTCAGTGACCATATACATGCATTGGCCAACTATCTAGGTTATTAATGAAGTGGCATAAAGATGCAGGAAAGACTATGGGGGTAATGGTTGTATAGAAATGCCATTCATCTCTTTATCTCTCAACTCCTTGGAAGAAGAAAAATCTAATTCAGCCAAAAGCTAGGCACTTCATTAATAATTATACATATGAAAGATAAAAGTCACAACCTTTTCATCTCACCACAGTTAAAATGGATTGATATTGCCCCAGACGTAACACAGAGGTGAAATAAGTTTCAGGAAGGAAGGAAGGAAGGAAGGAAGGAA